GGACCGAGAGCTGGTGGCAGCAATTCAGTGCTTGTAGCTCTTCCTGCTGGAGGAGGAGGTGGTGGTGTACTTGATGGTGGAACTGCCGCCTCCAACAGAGCTGAGGCCACCCCCAATGGCTCTGCCGCTGCTGGAACTGAAGCCACCTCCAACGCCAAGACCACTGCCATAGGAGTAGCTGCTTCCTCCACCCAGGCCTAAGCCACTGCCGACACCGCTGGCACCGCCATAGCCACTGGAGACGGTGGATTGTACCACAGCTGTGGTGGGGAGGGGACAAGGACACAAGAAGCCACGGTGAGCTCATCCTGTCAGCCTGAGCCCAGTCAGAAGAGTGCAAGGGCAGGGGAGGAAGGCAAGCAAAGGTACTTACAGATGTTGACTTGTCCAACGCCTTCGCCATTCAGCCTGTGGAGAGGAACACAGGGAGGGTGAGACCTCAGAGAGCCCTTCCTTCCCTGGACCAGTGTGGGCAGCCTCGGTGTATGGAAGAGTCCATGGGAAACAGCTCTTTTAGTTTTCTCTCAAGAAAAGCAATTATGGCCATGGGCAGTGCACCCTAGAGTTGTGCTCAGTGCAAGGCACCTTGAAGATGGACTCAACTGTTGGAGGAAGCCGCGTCAGTTACCCACCTGCACTCCTCGCCCTCCAACAGCTTGCGGTAGGTGGCGATCTCCACGTCCAGGGCCAGTTTCACGTTCATCAACTCCTGGTACTCCTTCAGCAGCCGGGCCAGGTCCTGCTTGGCCTTCTGCAGGGCATCCTCCAGCCCTTCCAGCTTGTTCTTGGCATCCTTGAGTGCCATCTCCCCACGCTGCTCAGCATCAGCAATGGCGGCCTGCAGGTTGGCACACTAGGAGGGGAAAGGAATAGAAGGAACTTATCATCCAGTCTTCCAGAGGAGACTAAACCTGACTGGTTTTTTTCTAGTGAAGAAGGGATCAGGGGCCCAGAATTGATGGTGAATGAGCTCTGACTCTTCCTGTCTATTTTTTTTTATATTATAGTTTTTGTCCAGTCTGGTTCATTTGAAAAAAAAAACAACTCATAACCCTTTTTGTGAACCACTCTGTGGGAGAATGTGGATATTTACTACTGGGAGACACTGCAGTGGACATAGACACTGGAAGAAATGGACCTGCTGGTTTGTTTGATTTTTTGTCTCCACAGTCAAATCAAGACCACTTATGATTACCTCATATAGATGCCACACTAACATACACGAAATTAACACCATCCTGAAGTGAGGTGATGAGTCTTCACATAAGACTGCTGAGACCTTGCCTTCCTCCCGCTCAGAATCTGTCATCTACTTGGGTAACACTTTTCTTTGTCCTTCGCCCTTCCTCTACTCTCTCTTTTATCTTGAGTCTCGAGCAGATTTGAAACAACATTCCTTGTGCTTTCTTACCTGCCCTATTCTTTTTCAATTTGTTCCTTTGCAGTTTCCAAGTCAGTCTTCCTATGGAAATGCATCCAATTCCTTCCAAGCTTGTCCAACCTATAGCCCATGGGCCACATGCAGCCCAGGATGGTTTTAAATACAGCCCGACACAAATACTTAAACTTTCTTAATACATTATGAGAGTTTTTTTCTTTTTCTTTTTCTGTTTGAGACAGAGTTTTGCTCCGTCACCAAGGCTGGAGTGTAGTGGCGTGATACCGGCTCACTGCAACCTCCGCCTCTGCGGCTCAAGCGATTCTCCTGCCTCAGCCTCCTGAGTAGCTGGGACTACAGGCACGTTCCACCATGCCTGGCTAATTTTTTTGTATTTTGAATAGAGGCAGTGTTTCACCATGTTGGTCAGGCTTGTCTCTCACTCCTGACCTCATGATCCACTAGCCTCAGCCTCCCAAAGTGCTGGGATTACAGGCATGAGCCAACAGACAAGACTGTACATTTTTTGTTTTGTTTTGTTTTAGTTTATCAGCTATTGTTTGTATTAGTGTATTTTATGTGTGGCCCAAGATAGTTCTTCTTATTCCACTGTGACCCAGGGAAGCCAAAAGATTGGACGCTCCTGATCTAAACCATGTTTTTGCAGCTCTGAGCACCCTGACTGGTTCTCTCACCTGTTTGTGTCATGCCCTAGGTAGGATCCGTGTCTCCTAATCAGTGGGTACCCACTAAGGGTAGGAACTGATAGTCTCCTCTCCCTGGTTTTCATTAGTTCCAGGGGAATTTTCCCTAATATAATGGCTGATGACTGCCTGAGGAAATGACAAGAAAATGCTTCGGTCCTCCATTGCCCTTCACCTTACCTGCTTCTTGACGTGGTCGATCTCAGATCTCAGCCTCTGGATCATGCGGTTGATCTCAGCAATCTCCTGCTTGGTGTTGCGCAGGTCGTCCCCATGTCTGCCCGCTGTGACCTGCAGCTCCTCGTACTGCAGTCCAGAGGTGGAGAGAGAGACAGTGTCTACGGGTTCTTACCTGGCTAACGATGACTTTCACTTGTGTATCATGCATGTCATGAAGTGAACCTAATGGCTTCTCCCCAAGGAACTTGAGGAAAAGCTGATGTTATGTGGTGGGTGGATACTAAACACTAGAGTCACAGACCATCCTCATTATGGCACCGCTGCCTGCCTAGTTTCGTTAGGGAGTAGAAATGTTCTGTACCATTTTCTAAAAGTCAGCAATCAGGATGAAGCTAAATGCAGAGATGACTAGGTCCTTGCCTATGGTAGTTTTTCTCCTGCATCGGGCTCTTTTTCTTCCTTGACTTGGGCATAAGTTCCGCAAATGTCTACTCTAATAGTGCAGGTGCATGTCCTGTGAGAGGACCTTGGCTTCCTGTAAGGGGATGTCCCCAATGAAGTCTGCAGTTCTCTGGCATTCAGAGCTGGACACAGGGATTCCTCAGCGGCTACCCACACCCTGCTCACCTTGCTCTGGTACCAGGACTCGGCCTCAGCCCGGCTCCTCTGAGCAATCTCCTCGTATTGGGCCTTGACCTCAGCGATGATGCTGTCCAGGTCCAGGTTGCGGTTGTTGTCCATGGACAGCACCACGGATGTGTCTGAGATGTGGGTCTGCATCTGGGACAGCTCCTGCAGAACAGAAGGTCATAAGATTAACTTCACTTCTGACATTTACAGAGATACCCAGCCCTATACATCTTCTCCCCTTTGCAGACCCCATCAGAGTAAACAGAAGGACAGTGGAGATGCTTACTGCTTCATACAAGGCTCTCAGGAAGTTGATCTCGTCTGTGAGAGTGTCTGCCTTGGCTTGCAGTTCAACCTTGTTCATGTAGGCAGCATCCACGTCCTGGGGAAAGAGCCAACAACCTGGAGCTACCTGAGCGCAGCTTCCCAATCTACCCATCTTCTAGTCCCCCTACCGATTCTCCTCTCCCAGGTGAGTGACGACACAGAGCCACTTCTGTCCTTCTAAGTGAATTTGAACCTCACGGCTTCATCTGCTCACCTTCTTCAGAGTCACAAATTCATTCTCTGCTGCTGTGCGCTTGTTGATTTCATCCTCATATCTGCAGGAAGAAAGGCATGGGATATATTTGAGCCAGTGGGTAGGATGAAACAGAAAAGCAGCCTGGGATCCAACATTTTCCCAAATGGAATATATTCTAATTGAGCTTTCCTGCCACAGAGCGCCTAAGGGATGATTTTTGCTTCTCCTAAATTTGTCACTTCTTTAATCTCGCCATCCTCTCATAACCATTTGTGGTTCTTGCAGGTTTGCTCCTAGGGACTAATTTGTGCTTTCCGTTTCCATGGACATGGGTTGTTAGGAATCCCACCCCCATCTGGCCCTGGTCACCCAATAGTCTTGAAGTGTGTGCTGCAGGAAATTGAGTCCATTTCTCCTATTTAACTCACTTGTTCTTGAAGTCCTCCACCAGGTCCTGCATGCCTCTGAGCTCCGAGTCCAGGCGGCCCCGTTCCCCGACGATGCTGTCCAGCTGCCTCCTGAGGTTGTTGATGTACTGCTCGAACAACGGTTCCAGGTTCTGCCTCACGGTCTTGGTGCCCTGCTCCTGCAGCAGGGTCCACTTGGTGTCCAGAACCTTGTTCTGCTGCTCCAGGAACCGCACCTGGAGGGGAAGCAAGATGGTCATTTTCCAGGCCAAGGAAGGAAGAAAAAGTGTCTGATATCTGGTTTCCTGGCAGGTTCAGGAGGTCCCCATGGTGCTGGGCTACTACAGTGCAAGTAGAGAGGCTCAGGCTGGGCTCGGCTCCCCCAATCCCTTCTCCTTTGCACCCCACCAATCTCACTAGAGAAATTGTCCCACGGACCATTGAGGTGTGTGTTCTCACGCTGTAAGCTATTAATTGTATCAGTGAGTTTCAACATTTCTTCTTTTTCTCTTTCAAAGCACAGTCACAAATCTAGTTTAAAAATACTATTTACCTGATGTGTTGTACAGTTTTTGTTACTGATAGGACCTCAGTTAGGAGGGATATTAGATGTTGCCTTATGATTAGATTCCAGTCTAATTTCCGATTTAGTGTGGTTTCTCCCCTCAAATATTCTGATGTTATGATCATTCTCTGTTTTTAAAATTAATTAGCATTTCTCCAGATTTTATAGTCGTTTCTATATCCTTTTTATTCTTAATCCACCCAGATCATCTTTTCCTTTTCTTTCTAAATGATTTCCTCTTACTCAGACCTCAGAGTGTAATTTACCAGCCCATATACTCCTGGCATTTGCTTTGTAATCTCTTAGACACTTTAGAGGGAAGAGTTAACCTACTCCACTCTCTGATGGCCTCATCTGTGCTTCAGGGTTGTGAAAAGTTGTGGCTTTCCCTAGGCAGGAGTGAGAACCAATCCGGAGATCCCGTGTGGGAGTGATGCCCGTCCCTGCTGCCCGCTGTGCGCCGGAAGCCACGTGCACTCTCTGCAGAGCTGGGCTGAATCCCCTTCTCCCTCCCTCCGAGGTCTCCCTGGCAGGAATGTGTTGTTCCTCTGGTCTGGGGACCCTGAAGTGCCCCATGGAGGGCATGACCCTGGCTCACCTTGTCGATGAAGGAGGCGAACTTGTTGTTGAGGGTCTTGATCTGTTCACGCTCCTCGGCCCGCACTCGCTGGATGGCGGGGTCGATTTGCAGGTTGAGGGGAGTCAGGAGACTCTGGTTGACGGTGACCTCTTGGATGCCTCCAGGGGGGCACACAGGGAAGCCAGGGCCCCCAAAGCCACCAGCAAGGCCGGCTCCACCACCCAGGCCAAAGCCAATGCCGGCTCCACCACCGAAACCAAATCCACTCCCGGCGCCACCAAAGCCATAGCTGCCTCCGGCTCTGCTGCCATAGCCGCCACTGATGGCACAGCTGCCCCCTCCAATGGAGATCCTCTTGGAGCCCCCCAGGCCATACAGGCTGCGGCTGCCAAAGCCAGCTCCTCCACATGCGCCACCCAGGCCACCACTGCCCCTGGAGCGGGACACGGAGACGCTGCTGAAGCCAGAGCGGCTGACCCCAGGGAGCCTGGCTGAGCCGGCACTGAAGCCCCTGCGGCTGCTGCTGTGGCTCCTGATGGTGGTGGATGTGCTGGCCATGGTTCCAGGAGATGAGAGAGCTGAGGAGAGCGTGAGAGGCTGGAGGTGAGAGGGAAGAGAAGCAGGACAAGGAATAGGCCTCCAGCAGCAGCTTATATATGGAGAGCATGGGCTGGGCCCAGTCCTGGAAGGTGAGCTTGCAGGTTGGGAAGGGCTGGGCTTTACAAATAGTGAGATCACACCTGCATTATTACAAAAGTTATGAAATACCGAGATTGCATTTTTCGCTTCCTTTAGTCAGGGAAAATGTTCCTGCCTCCAGCTTTGACTGGAGATCTCAGCACAATAAGAACATTCTCAGTTCATGAAGTTGGAGTTAGTCACTGTCTCTAGCAAAGGTTCTGCATGCTAGGCTGTTTATCAGCATGCCCTGAGTGTTCTCCTCTTCCCAGTCTGACTTTCTTCCAGCAGAGATATTGGAGATCACACGCACTGTATTGCAAATGGCTTAACAGAAAAATTACCGTTTCCCCATAATTGTTTCACCTTTTAGGTGCAATTTTAAACAGGTAGAGAAGCAGAACACTGCAATGGGCCTGTATATACCTGTCACCTGCTTCCATGATGATTAACTCATGGCCCGCCTAATTTCTTTCATACTTCAACCCAATTTCCTCTTCCATTCTAAATTGTTTGAAAGCAAATTCCAGAAGTCATATTATGTCTTCAACAAATAATTCAATATTAATATCTAAATAATAGGTCCTTTAAAAAAACCAAAAAGCTTTTTTTGTATGTTAAAATTTACATACTAATTAAAATGAACAAATGTCTATTTAGTCTTCAAACAGTCCTGTTTTTGATATATATTTCTTATATTTTGGTGTCCCAATCAGGGTCGAAATAAGCTCTATAAACGTAGTATTTGAGTGATATATCCTTTAAATCATTGAAATTTAGAAATCTCCCTTCATTTCTTTATTTTATTTGTTAAATAAAACAGGTCAACTGTTCGTTGTACTTTTTCATTCTTGGGGTTTTTCTAATTGCATACCCCTATTGTTTCCTTTAATATGTGACTCTAACCTTCATATTACATATTAAAATTAGAAGCTTATTAAGATTCTCTCTATGTTTAAACATTCTAGATGTAGATGTAGTAGATTGCCCATTTAAATTTTGAATAGTACTACTTGCACAATTATTTACATGTTTACAAATTGAATACATGATACATGTTTTAAAAATTTTTTTGTAAAACATGCTGAACAACAAAATAATGTAGTTCAAGGCCATTCCCCAATTACCCAATTCCTATCTGTGGAGGAAGTAATATTAGCAGTTCCTTGTGTATCCTTGTGTCTTTACTTGGATATTTTTCCGTGCTTTTCCTGGGCCATGGGTGATATGTCTGTGCATATGTGTTTGTGTCAATGTGCGTTTGTATGAGTGAGGAAGAGGTGGAGGGAGCTGGCGTATGTAGAGAGGGAGCCTGCATTGTAGAAAGGTATATAAATAAATACATGACTGTTTTGTGTGTATGTGTTTGAGTGTGTTTTATGTATATAAAATACTTCATGTGTTCATATATACAAAACATAAAAATATTGTCTTTTCCAATTGTGATTGCGTTGTGTCTGCTTTGTCTCCCATGTCTATGTTTTCTGATTCTCTTTTTAACAGGCTCTAATCTCTTTTTCATAGTGGTTTGCTTTTCCCAGTTATTCTGGGACATTTCCTCCAAATGTCCATTACTGTCTCTTCACCAATGTCTTTCCTTCTTACGCTGCTTTCAGTTTGGCCTTCATTTTTTTTTTCTTTTCTTTTTTTTTTTTTTTTTATACAGAGTCTTGCTCTGTCACCCAGGCTGGAGTGCAATGGCATGATCTCAGCTCACTGCAACCTCCGCCTCCCAGGTTCAAGCAATTCTCCTGCCTCAGCCTCCCGAGTAGCTGGGATTACAGGCACCCGCCACCATGCCTGGCTAATTTTTGTATTTTTAGTAGAGACGGGGTTTCAGCATGTTGGCCGGGCTGATCTTGAACTCCTGACCTCGTGATCCACCACATTGGTTTCCCAAAGTGCTGGGATTACAGGTGTGAGCCACCGTACCTGGCCAATTTGGCCTTCATTTCTAAGCATGGCTTTGATGTTTTCTTTACCTCTTTTCTGCGCTCCACAAATGAATATTTTATCTTTTACTGTCTCACTATATTTTCTCCTCTTTTTCCCACTTCATAGTGTTTATTTTTCAGTATTTTGTTGTGCCTTTTTCTGTTGAGTGTTCTTTATGAGTCTTTTTTTTTTTTTTTTGCCTACTTTTTTCAATTTTGAATGCACAGATCTTTTGCGAGTCCTGGAATGGTTCCTTTCTGACTAGAGCTGATTTTTAATGAGATGAGCCCCCTCTGGACCTGCCATTTGTAGAAAGTATTCTGGGAGGAGGAGCCACGGCCATATCCAGGCTAACAGGAGCTCTGATTGTGACACAGGGCTGTGTGAATAGTTCTTTTATTCTTTCATTCAGCCAAACCAATAAATATCACTGCAGAGTGGCCCACAATTCACAGCCTCTCTGTTTTCTTTGCCTCACAACAAAATGCTGCTAGTGGACCTTGTCTCTCTTCTTATTCAACTTTGCCTTTGTAGTTTCTTGAAACTTCATGACAAGCAGGGTCCTGGCTCATGCTCACACACCCAGTTGTGATAGTTGCAAATAAGGGATTCTTGGATTTTCACATGAGGACATGCCCTTTACATTGATTTAGTTGAGGGAAATGAGTCAACTATGCCTGGCATGTAGTAAAACCTCAGTTAGGCTGTGTTTGGTTTTCCTTTGTGGTTACTGTGTTGTTTGATTTTGATCTGTTTATTTGTGAGTGTTCTTCACTGGCTTTTTCTGAGATCGGCAGCCATGGCATCTGCTCTCTGAGTTTTCCTAACAACCTTGTTTGTATTTCTCTATTTATGTGAGGACATTCTATTATTATTATTATTATTATCATTTGGCTTAGGGATTTTAAGATCTTTTACTTCTGGTGTCTACCCTTATGTTTTTTGTTCTGTTTGTTGTTTTTAGGTAATTTCTGAGAAGAGGAAGTGCTTCCCTTTCTTCCACTAGATTAAGTTCAGAAGCCACTTATTTATATTTAAAATATCATATTATGTAAAATGTTAATCTAATAACCTAAGTTAGAAATATTATTTTCCTCTCTTGCACTTTGTTAATATAGATGTCTCATTGTTCTCTAGGGCCTCTGTCTTCCCTGGAGCTATTTTTGAGTAACTTGAACACTTTCTATAAAACGTCATTTTTACTATCGCTAGAAATTTAACCTCAAACTATATATTGTGTTTTTCTCAGTGAAATAAGCCACTTCATTGCTAAAACAAACTTTGTATTATTGAAAATTTCCAACAGGTAAAGAGAACAGTATATAAACCTCCATGAATGAATCACACAGATTAAACAGTTATCAACATTTTTCTTATTATTGTTCCATTTAACTCCCTTAGTCTTTTTATATCTAACTCCCCTACTTCTTTTTTTTTTTTTTTTTTTTATTGAGCAACATGGGTGTTTATTTCATCTGGGTGCAGGCAGGCTGAGTCCGAAAAGAGAGTCAGTGAAGGGAGATAAGGGTGGGGCCATTTTATAGGATTTGGGTAGGTAAAGGAAAATTTCAGTCGAAGGGGAGTTGTTCTCTGGTGGGCAGGAGTGGGGTCACAAGGTGATCAGTGGGGGAGCTTTTTGAGCCAGGATGAGCCAGGAAAAGGAATTTCACAAGATAATGTCATCGCTTAAGGCAAGGACCGGTCATTTACACTTCTTTTGTGGTGGAATGTCATCAGTTAAGGCAGGGCAGGGTATTTGCACTTCTTGTGATTCTTCAGTTACTTCAGGCCATCTGGGCGTACCCTCCGCTGTAAGAGTTATCCAAAGCGTCTGTGATAGTCCAGGAGGCTTCCGAGGCGATGGGACAGCGTCAATCCGAGGCGATGGGACAGCGTCAATCTTCAGCCGCCAATTTAAAATTGGTGAGATGTTCCTTGGGCTGGTTGGTCTGAGGACCAGAGGTCGTAGGTGGATCTTTCTCACAGAGCAAAGAGCAGGAGGACAAGGGATTGATGTCCCAAGGGAGGTCCCCTGATCCGAGTCACGGCACCAAAATGACATGAGCATCTGTGTGAAGAGACCACCAAACAGGCTTTGTGTGAGCAACATGGCTGTTTATTTCACCTGGGTGCAGGCGGGCTGAGTCCGAAAAGAGTCAGCCCCTACTTCTTTTCTTAAAGTATCTTAAAGGAAATCTAGACATCAAGTCATTTCACTTGTCAATATTTTTATATATATTTGAGTAATAGTGAATTTATAATCTAGTTGTGTAACAGTATTAAATCTATCCAATACCTCCTTCATAGTCTTATTTCTCTGATTATCTCAAAACTTTCTCTTTGTGGCTGGCTTGCTCCAAGCAATATCCTAACTAGGTTCATATATTGCATTTGGCTGCCATGTCTTTTGAGGTTGTTTATTCTGTAATGCTGTAATGAACCCTGTCTTTTTCTTTTATTTGCCATTGATGTGTGGAATTTTTGTTTGTTTGTTTCTATAGAATGTTCATATTCTGGATTTGACTCATTGCTTCCTGTTGGTATCACATAATGCCTTCTCCCCCGCCCCCCCGTTTTTCCTATGTGTTGGTAGTTGTAGTGAAGACTCAATTAGATTTGTTCCCATTGTGGCAGGCAAGACTATGCAATAATTGATGCTATGTACACCCTCTTGCACCATATCGTAAGATATGTAATACTAATTGCCTACTTTTTGTGATGTTAAGACTGATCAGGGGATTTCAGTGGTTTCAACCCATTCCCTCCACTATAAAGCACTGCACGCAATATATTTTTCATCTGATATATTAATACTCATTAATTTCATCAATTTCCAGATTCACTACTTCATTAGAGGTTGCAAAATGTCATCTTTCTGATTTTATCATGCCTTCTGCGTTTATTAATTGGGATTCCTCTACAAAGAAGAACTCTTCGTCATTTACCTTTCAGGTAACTTAACATTTAATTCCTACAAGAAACTTAGAATAAGTGTTTGACTCTCTTTATTTATCAGTTTTCAGATAATAGATTGGTTCTCTAGCAATCTTCAAAGGTAATCAAGAAGGTATTTTTGTTTTGATATAATTATAAATTCACAATTTTACAAAAAATATATTTGATATGTTTTAGTTCACTGAAGTCATTAATTCTTTTGGCACTTAAATGGTCCTATCTGAAGCAATGGAAGCTCTTCAGATTGGCTTCTGTGTCCTTTGACAGGACCTCATTTGGTTTTGATAGGTTCCTGGTTTTCTAG